TATAACTACGGAGTAAATTTTAAAGAACACACCGAAAAATATTAGTGGGATAGACGACTTTTTCGAGGTTATATTTACTAAATAAAATTATTTTAGATTTTAGAGCTGCTGAGCAGTTTAGCAGCACACTTAAACCGTCGACAACCGCTAAGTTCATTTCACCCCAGTAGCTACTCCAGCGCTGTTGTGGAGAATTTTTGAACTATTATTTATATACTTATAGATGGCCACTTTTTCAACTATTCTACTATGGGAGTTGGTACTCCTTACTTCTACACTCCATAGTCTTCGTTTCCGTATGTATTTCGCCATATTGTTTATTGCAAAAGATGATCTAGACATAAAAAAACCAATTTAGCTTCGAATTTGTTATCCTTAAAAATAAAAGTACCTCTTTTTGTGTAAAATCACCTCGGTATCACTTGAAAACTAGCTAATTAATTTTCTTACAGACTTTCATTTGGAAGTAAGTCGCGTTTATGCTTCAGGCAGTCATTGTCAAACAATATTAGTTATATATAATACGTTATATCTCTCTATGGAGCTTGCTTGGGGGCAAAGTGTGTACTTATATTTTTTTCCTAAATAAAAAACACTCTGCACGTGATACACACTGCTAATAAAAGAACAAGGTGAAAGTGCCGAAACTAAACTCCTCTTGGCTTGTTTTGGAGAACAGCTTCATTATTGCGAGGGTTTTAGGGTAAGGCAGGCAGGCTACCAACTTATATTTTTAAATTAAAATCTAATAAAATATACCTCAAAATTTAGCAGTGTGAGATAATGGTAATTTTTAACGTTAATGATATAATATACCATTGCTAAACAGAATAATAATTGGATTATTATAATTAAAACTATTTTTATTAAATATCTCGTTCAATTTAAATAAGCTCTGTAAAAGTACACTTACTCACTTAATAAAAACAGCTAAAGCGGTTAACTAAATTCAAATATCGTTCTTATCTTTTAGTATTAAAAATAATAAAAACTAAAAAGTGTGAAACAGACACCTAAAACCGCGGCCCATGTCTACTTTCGTAAAGGTTATGTTATGATTAATTCTCTCATTCAGCGTCGAGAGTTGCTTTGAGTCACTCCTTTCATGTCCGAAAAAATTTAAAGTGAAAGTTGTGACGCCACGAGAGGAATCTAGTTATTCACCGCGCGGTGTTAAGTAACCGAAATATTTAAACAGGTAGCGCATTTGTTACAACTTTATTTCAATAACGGTTTGGCGTACATACGTTACACTAATGGCTAATTTTATTTAATAAGAGTTAATAATATTTGATACTTTTTCCCACCCTACCAATTCTCTCCCTTAAGCCTCTTGCACTACTCCATGAAAATATCTAAACTTTTATCAATTTAACTATACGTTCTACAACACCTATAGATGTTACGATTTTAGTAAAGCAACAAACTGATCTTCTTTAAGTCTTATCCTTTGTATGTCCACTGGACAGGCTTTTTTATGCATGTGCTTGTTGACATGTATTACTGGAATTTTTCATATCATGCTTAGCAAGTGGGTTGGTGACTGTAAAGTTAATAGCTACCCTCAAGCAGATAATGGCCCATCATCAGTCTATGAAATTTTTAATGGATTTTCGCCCGTCAATAGCCTGCCAGATCATTTTCCGTCAGCCAGCATGTAAATTAATGTTAACATTTTTCCCCTTATACACCTACCATAAGGGTAATTACCAATTTTTGTGGAATAATTATTTTTAGTGTTGGTTCAATTTCATATTTCATTGTTTGTATTATTATAGTAATGTTTGCGTATCATTAAACACGATATACTTATTAGCAACAGCATACAAAGATGTGAATTAAGCATAACCGAATGCATCTCAACTGTACCGTTCGGTCCACATCAAGAATCCCACTTATTATATATGATAACGGTGTGGACATGCGCTTCAGTGAATTGCGGTCATTTTATATCCGCTCAATGGTACTTTTATTCCCATAAATAATTTTACTTGATTTAATATGCTTGCCGAGCATATTTTATGTTTTTTCAATGTTTATTTATCAAATTAGATATTATAAATATCTTGTTTATATATATATATATATATATATATATATATATATATATATATATATATATATATATATATATACACATAAACGAATACACTTTTCACAAAAAAAGTTTACATAATTATATTAATTAATGTATTTATGCATGTATCCTGGTTTAATTAGTATTGATGCATAATATTTCTCTGGAATTTATATCCGCATAAAATTATGATGCACGAACAATCCACGCGCCTGCGCGGTTTTAGAAAGCGGATCGCAAGTGGACTGGTCAGCGAGTGGGTTTAAAAACAGACCAAAAAAGTCGGAGAACACAATTTACGTACCTTTTTATATTTTCTTGCAACGCTAAAAAAACAAATCGCAAATTGGCAATGATGAAAAAACTTCGAGTGAAAATCTAAACTTATTTTTCCACGGCGAATATCCGTTGAAAGCAGGGAGCTAGCTGGTTATAGCTATAGCGGGTTTGGGCCCTCGCTCCGAAATAAGAAAAACGTTAACCTTGCAAGGCAGTGGCGCACACGCAACCGGACAGAGCTGCTTTCACCTATCGCCATGCTCGCCGCGCCTTGTGCCAGGTTACCAACCGCGCTCATGCCGTTCTGCCTTAATAGACAATAATTATATGTCGTTCGTGTTTAGATATAGCTAATAGTTTCATTTTTGTTTCATAATATTTATAATATTAAACTACGTAAGTGCTTTAAAAACAAAGCCTTAAATACTTTTCATCTTTTTTAAGCTAGTAATTTAACCAAATAAAATGTTTTAAGTGTATATTAAAAACTTCGAAGAAGGGCACACTTATATTAGATTCTGAGTCAATCGAAAGTAGTTTCTAGCGCAATGCTGCGTTAAGTTCCGCCGCATGGTATGCGTCGGAATGTTGGTAGGTCAAGAGTTCAAGAAGTCGATGCCTATCACAGTGGCACAGTTAGCGATTTAGCGCTGATGAAAATACATTCTTTCAGTATTACTTATTGCGTCTTAAATAAAGTTAGCTATAAAAACCAAAAAGGCAAAATAGACGTGCAAATAAAGTAAAAAGCGAAGAAGAAACTTCTTAAAATATATCGCTGAAAATAGCAATAAAAATGCATGTTTTTATGTATTGTATTGTCGTTGCTTGAGAACGTTATAAAACAAAATAAGTCTCTCTCTCTCTCGCGTTTTTAACTTTCACCAAAGTCTACCGCCATGTTACCGAGTAAAGTTTGCCCTTAAACAAGTCTTCGAACGTTTAGTTGACGATACACATTGTTATACCGTTCTTGGTATGTTTATTATCACTATTGACGCTCGCCTATAGAACCGCAACAAATAATACGTAAAACATAAACGTTAAAATTTTGTAACAGCAAATTTCACCGAGGAGAATCCAACGCTATCGATAGTCCGAAACCAACGCGACGAGACGTCGCTTCTCTCGGCAGTTAAAAACCCGTAGAACGTTTAAAGTAAAGCAATCACATTTAATTCACCACTTCAAATAATGGCATATGTTATCAGGTTAATAATTTAGAGACTGTCAAATACAAAACAAACAAAAAAACAACAAACATAGAAAATTTATATCGGTCAAAGAAAGTAGAACGCCGAGGTAATTTGTTGAAAACGTATTTACATCAATTTATATAACTAACACTTATTATCATAGGTGGAAGAGGTGACATCCGAACTACAGTTAGCGAAGACCGGGTCACCCGTATTAGAAGTTGACGGACCCTGCTAGCATACTTCCATACCAGATAGATGTAGACCAGTCCAGTACAAACATCGCAAATTGAATTTTAAAACATTAAATGCTCAAATTTAAATAAAACTAATAAAAATATTTTATTTGAATAAAAATATAGTATATGCACATTTATGATTTATTGTAAAATAAAAAATTTTAAATTCAGCTTTTAAGGTCGCGATGCATCGTAACAAATTTACGTAAAGTCAAACGTAATATAAAAGCTTCAATAAGTAAAACTTTTATACTCCATAAAAGTTTTGTTTATCTGAATTTTTCGCTTTCAAGACAGATTTAAAAACCAAATGCTAATGATATTCAACGATGTCGACTAAAACGTTTCAACTAAATTGAACGATAAACTTATTATTTAAGAATCCAAGTAAAAATCCAACAACGCGGTTTAGGGGCCGCTTTCTAGATACCACTTCAAACAAGCGATCAAACCGCGCGAATCACTCATCAGAACACTTTCTAATCGACGACCAGTACACGCCGCAATCAAATAAAAAAAATGTTTTTTATTGAACCTAAATTTACTTACTTTACTTACGTTATATCTCTGTGACAGGATGCAGCAGAAGGTCTCCGGATGGGCCCTTGTGGCCCTTATCAGCTCGTCGGTGATCCTCCATACGATCGCGTATCCTCAGCACCAAGCTCCACTAATCTCACGGGTAAATATTATTTTCACATGCCATGTAGTATAAAGTAACGCTACTTACCAATTTAACGATTATAAGTAAAGATAGAACGATAACCTATTTAATATTTTAATAATTTTAAATTCATATTATATTTTTTAAAGATTAAAAAATATTATGTTAAAAACGTTGTTGTAAGCTGTTAAAAATGAGAAATCATTAAAAAAATATAAAATATTGTAAGTCTGGATTGTTATGTTGTAGTTTACACAAATTAAAAAAAATTCTGATATGCATATTTAAAGATATCGCATAACTTAAAGAAGATAACAGTAACATGCCGTAGACAAATTAATGATCATTTTATTGATGATGAATCATTTTATTTCGAATAAAAAAACAATTGTTCATATAGAATAGGCTTTTACCGAAGATATTATAAAGAATATCGTTCTTAAGTTGATTATGAATAATACAATAGTGTAACAAAGGTTTAATTAATCATAAACTTTTATTCCTAGATGTTTTCCCTAATTTTAAATATGCCTTTATATCGATGGATGCGGGACACGATTGAGATAGCAATCCTAGCCGATGCAAAATCAGCCGGCCAATATTTAAGGAAAACCTGGGCCGATTATTTGGTAATTTTCCCTCGTCACTTAGGCTGAATGCTCGTCTGCAGCAGATTTTATCGCATAAGCGGTTATATAGGAACAGTAAATACTTTGTTTAAGTGTGTACTTATAGCACTGTGATATATTCAGTGCAATTCATAACCTCTATAAGTATAATAATAACAAGAATCTGTCGTAATCGAAATCGGCCATGAAATAACATAAAGATGATTGACGATGAAGAAGATTAGGTCGTTCTATCATCTGCTATTCAATTATTTAACAATTTTTAGCTATATTTTTTTATTTCTTTTATTACCTAAGCATTAATATTTTATTAAAAATGGCATACATATTATAAAGCGAGTTCATTTAACTTCTGTTTGAAATTTTCATATAAGCAATTTAATTTTCGAAAAACTTAAAGTAAATGCAGACTATTAAAGAATAAAATAATTTCCCTAACTGCAGCCATTACGTGAAAATTATTTCATTATTTTTCAATAAATTTTTAGTCAGCTTTAACTTTTTAATAAAATTTTAATTTTTTCACTTTTTTGAGTGAACAAATGAACATCACAAGCTCAAGGTAACAATATAGATAATATTGTCTTAAATAGTTACATAAAATTGTTTTTCCAACGTAAGAGATTTGAATTTTCTCATCCCTGTATTTCTCATATAACCGATTTAATTTAAAAAAAATCGTTAAAAAGGGTTCACAATAATTGACGAAGGTATGCATAAAAAATGTACAAAAAATATACCTTACTCTTTTTCGAAGTCGGGAAATGTAAAGTCGTAAATGAACATTTCCTAGATTTATAATCCCAATTTCAAGTGGTTTTTTTAAAATATTTTTTCAATGTGTATTTCAGGCGACAAGCAATGTGCGGACACAAAATCCGGTGTACTACAGTAATTCGCTGCCGTTACCTCAAGAGCAGTTAGGACAAGAACGAAAATATGCTGAAAAACCAAACGCGCTTAAGAAAGTAGTAGACGATATCGATGACACGCAAACAAATTCAATATCGGAAGGGGGCTTTTCATGGTCAAACATGTTAGGTAGGTGTAAAAATAAAACACCTTTTTTTAAATAGCATGAAATTTAAAAAAATCACTTTCTTTCGATAGCGATAATAGTTTGACAAATGATTAATAATTTAGATTTCCTTTTCCTGTATTTATTTACATTCACGAGATTTTCGAAGCAATAAGCTTGCTCTTTTTTGTATATGCAATGAATGAATCGTAAGATTTATAATTTTCAGGTATGATAATGCAAATGCTATTTAACCCAGGCGGCACAAGTCCTAACAAAAGCGACAGCATCGACACTGAACCAGTCTCGTCCCCTTGGGCTAACCTGATCTCCATGGGTCTAAAGATTTTAACAGCCATTCTCGGGGGTGGAGCACCAGTTGATGGGATCGACAAAGTAGACTCTTCGTCACCTATGCAGGTACCTATTTTTATTAAATTGAAACGCACGTACTATTATCAAATTTAGACGTAATAATTTATTGTAAAAATTAAAAAAAATATATTATGTTCACATATGTATACGATGCAATAAGGTTACGTTACTGATCGACTAACAAAGTAGATTATACAAAAAAGTCACACCAATAATGTAAATTATCACCTTTAAAATATGTCCTCACCCGTATTTAGTGCTGTTGATTCCAAAGTGTAGTATATAGGAAGCTAAATAATAACTACAATCGTTTTATCGTCGGATCGCCTCAAGGAGAGAACACCTTCTGATCTACAGTTGTTAAATTTTCATAACATTTTTCTAGTGAAAGTTCCTTGAAGTAGTCCAGCGATAGCGAATGTAAATAGTAAAATTTGGTTACGGAGACGGTATTGCTTCTCGCTTGCTTCAGGGTATATTGGCTGCGATTCTTTCGACGGTGCTCGGTGCAAAAGACCCCGATCAAGTCGCCTCGATGGCAAAGCAGGCTGGAGAGGTATGCTACCTACCCTTCCTTATCCTTTTCAATTGGCCCCTACTAAATTACAATGATAGACTATAAGTTTCGCTTCTTTTCTATCATTACTCCGGTGTTTCCCATTTTATTGATAAGATCCTATTTTATTGGTAAGCACTGAAATTTTGCTTCACTTTACAGTTCATCAGCATCGTCGTGAATCTTCTGGACGCCCTTAAGACCTCATTCTCTCATAGATCGCTGACTGCGCGATCAATGGGCCGTAAGGATTCAGTCAGTGACGCCGCCATCGCTGGCATATCCATGCTCAAGACCTACGTGAGGTCCTTCGGTACGAACGACGACAAGTGTTTACAGAAATATGTATGCGATGCTAACAACGAGTGTTCCTCTGACATCGGACCGAAGAGTATCTTCTGTCAGCTTGGAACGTAAGTTTCTTAGAAATAATTCTCTTCATCCCTTGATACAGTTTCTTAAAAAAAAAATATATATATATATATATATATATATATAACCGGAATCTTGGAAACGGCTCCAACGATTTTCATAAAATTTTGTGTGCAGGGAGTTTCGGGGGCAATAAATCGATCTAGGATTTATTTTTAGAAAATGTCTTTTTGTCCGTGTTTTTAGGCAATGAAAAACTGCTACAATATCGTTAGAATAAGAAGGTAAATTTTGACAGTTTATTAATGATTACAAATAGCTTAATTGATATATTGGGCGGTCACAAAATAGTAATACCATGGTTCGAGCCCGGACCGACCGACCGATTTTTTTTAAATTTTTTTTTCAAGTTCCTTTCTTTTTTGAGAAAATCTATTTTTCGAGCCCTTTTTTAGTATTTTTTAAAAACACGAAAATTTAAATTAAACTAATTGCACTCATGATTTTTTATTCAAATAACCAGTTCAGTTTTTTCTATTATGTCGCTAAGATCAAAAAATATTATTCGTATTTCATCAGTATGTAATTTATATCTAAAATTTCCAAAACACACGAATAAAAACCAGCGAAAAATACCAGCAAAGCTCGGTCAACCGGGTATATATATATATATATATATATATATATAAAACATATTTCATTGAGTGTTTCAACAATAAATATTTTAAACAACAAATGAATAACGACAATTTTTTTTTACAGGTACGCTGCAAGTTTTGTGCTAGAGAGGCAATCTGGCGGTACTTTCGAAGAGTTTTATGAAGCTGGGCGTCGCGGGCGCTCTGGCATTGACTGCCGTCAGTTGTATCTTGAATGCAACGAAGTTTAGTAATTATTGAGTTTATACTGCCAAAATTTCAAGTAAACGAAAATAGTGAAAAAAAAACAAAGGAGGTTGTATTAGATCTATCTATTGCAATTTTCGTGGTATAAAAACAATTAAAATGTCGTTGATATATTAAAATTAGTCAACCGCCATATACTTAACACGAAAAACGAATCAAGTAAATATGGCAAAATAAATATTTCGGTCGCTGCTGCCTTTAAGGAATTTTTTGGTCATTTTTGTGCAGCCTATCCCATCGCACATCTTAGAACGCGCCAAGTTTAAGTGTTCTTTTAAGTATTTAATTTATTTATTTATTTAACTTATTATAGGTTAATACATAGGCATTACAAAGTATTATGAGAAAAAGGACAAAAACATCAAAATTCCGTCGTGTAAAATATTCAATTGATCGCTAGTGTGATGATTGGCAAAAAGATCAGCGATTTCGCCAATTTTGTAAGAACGACTGATGTAAAATTATTTTTTTGTGATATAAATAATTATTTGTATCACCTCATAGTTTAGTTATAAACATTCTGTGTATATTGTTGTGATTATGTGTGATTGAGGACGTCCTTGTGTGATTGTGATTGTTGAATAAATATTATTTCAAAAACATGTTGTTATTTCAACTTGCTTCTACTCCTGCTCTTCCACCAAACAGTTAAACAGTCCTGCTGTAATATACGTTTATGTTTATTAGATAAATATTAAAATATAATAATGTTTTAAAGTTTACCTAAAAATAATTGAAATAATAAAAACCATAATCTACTCATTATAAAAATTATATAAAATACCAACCTCGCGTAAAATTATAAGGAACAATTTTTAATCAAATGCGATTTTCTAACCAGATTGTTAAAATAGTATGTACGTTTTTATAAGTAAAAGCGTACATATTATTTTAACTATTTGTTGGTAGAGTTATTGGTTGGTAGACAGGGGTAGTAACCACGCTCTCACAGAATACCAGCGTTAAATAGTAGCTTAATGCTGCTGCATTTCGTATGGTGAGTGTAGATAACCGGAGACCATTTTTAGTGGAAACGAGGCATTCCATCTTAGTCCTCACGGGAGACGGCGCATCTGCATTTTGATTCGTAATCGAGGATAGATGTAGATATCTATGTGCCACAGCAACCACTTACCATCAGGTGAACTGTGAGCTCGTTTGTCACCCTTATTCTTTAAAAAAAATATATGTATCTATATTCCTTCCAAAAAGACAAAAGTGAAAAATAAATTTTGTACTTAGTAATTCAACAATTAAATCTTATTAAACTCAATATAAATTTACTTTGCTCTTTTAGCACTGAAAGACATAAATCAGAAATGGGAGACGCTGTCGCTTTTACTTTAATCGCTCCACTGCTGCACACAGGCCTCCTGTCATTTCTGAAACAACTTTAAGGGAAAAATAGGTACATCACCATACGTGGGAAAACGAAATTTCTTGCTAGCTTAGTTCTGTACCATCAAACATCTTCTCAGTGTACACATGACATCATCATCATAATTATCATTATTAGAGCCCCGTTATAGAGACCTCCCCCATAATATGCATATCGAACTATTATAAAAGTAAAAAATCATGTTTGTAAATAATAAACTGGTTTCTACAATCTCATACAAAATACAAACAAACACATAGTGCAAATATAAGCCGCGTTGGTGATAAACGTTGACCTGGGATGTTATACCCCATCGCCTTAGAATAGCAGTAACTTATGGTCCCTTCCAACTTGTTCCTAAAATAAATTTTGTAAATAGTTTGTGATCATTCACATCGTAATATTTAATAAGTCCCGTTGAGTTTCTTACTGGTGCTTCCCAGGACAGAAAAAAATTACTTTCAATAAGAAATACATGTGTGTACTAAAAATATTCTATTCTATTTTAATATATCTGACTACGCAACCCTCTTTCTTGTAAATTATTTGACAACTAAACTTACGTAAAAGTCTTACTTAAAGGTTTAGAAACATTCTTTAATGAACATAATATTTCGGTTTACTTTTCTAAGGGACAATAAATATTATAAGGCGTCATTATTAATTAATATGTAATAAAATACTTGCTAAAATAAGATCGAACATTTTAAACAAAACTTTTATAAATTATTATATTCACTTTGTAAGAAGATATTTAACGTTTCTTTGTAACAATAGAAAAAGAAGTAGGTCTGTCAAACAGAACAGACGGAAAATGTATATAACAATCCATCTTCCGATCTGGTTAACAGAAAGACATCAATAAAACGGATACGAGTAGCACCATTTTTTTAAAAACTGCAAATACAAATATGGGTATAGAGATATACCGAATACCGTTATGCTCGCGCATGACATATCATATGGAGCAAAATTAAGTAGAGCGTAATAATAGCACCCATAGGTGAAGTGTTATACAGCCAGTTCAACCCTGGCCCTCACACAACTTGACGTACGTGACAATCCAGATGGCTTTGGAAAACATTTTATCCCGAATGGGTTTGGATACAAAACAACTTACTGAAAGGTAACTATTATTAATACTTTAAAAATAATGTGTGTGTATTCTTTTGCAAAGGAATATTAATAATTATATTGACATCACTTCCATTAACCACTTCGAACTCCAAGTAAGCTTAAAGTGCTTGTTAGGAGTGGTACCACAGTAGTCGAATAGCGAATTCGAACTCACGACTTCTAAAGTTTGCAATCTACATACTTAACCATTAGACTTCTGCCGCCTTTATGCTGTTGTGCAAGAAAATCCCTAACTAGTTAAAGATGGCACGAGAATAAGTCATTGTACTATTAGTTACCATTGCCATATCAAGAGTGTACTGTTGGATATAATATACTCAATCAGAATGGTTTGAGGCAATCGTTTACCAGACTTGCAGCAGTAGTAAACGTACCTTAGGCCCGGTTTATATTTTGAGAAGTGAAAGTGAAAAGACAAATGACAAGTGCTTAGTGCGAATTTTATTCACATTTATCACTAATCACTGTCTGTTCACACGCACTAAACACTTGTCAGATGCTCTTGCCACTTGCACTTGTCACTTCTCAAAATGAAAACCGCACCTTAACCGCGGCTGTCATTCAACCAACTAAAAAGTGTCGGATATTTTATATTGCTTATCCTACCATTTGTGATGGTGGAGCAGACATTTTGGAAATTTTATTTTTCAACGATACGGAATGACCGAAGAAATTATTTGTTGCATTTATAAACACGATTTTTTTTTCTACGTAGCCCGCAGTTGTTTGGCGGTAAAGAAAAATATCGTGAAAAAACGTGCACATCTGAGAAATGTAATATTTCAAGAACAGGCGGAATAATCGCTCCATTATCACCTCAGAAATGAGAGAACCTGTACCCGGCCGTCATACGTGTATAGATTGAAATTTTACTTTTAAAACGTTTTCTGTGTAATCTCTTATAATAATAGCAAGCTTATGATTTTTTCATACATATAAAAAATGAGATATATTATTGACTTTATTTTCATTAAGTACTTCCTGTTAGATATGCAGAGTACGGAGCGCCGGCGCCTGACCAACATTTATTTTATGGTTATGAGCCTTCTCCGCCTCTGCATGGGCATGCCGTTCCTACAAAACAGTAAGTATAATGCAATACAATGCAAAAAATAAACAAGGAGGATTAAGAGTAAATGCCACATATAATTGTAATGGCTCTCCATTTAATACCATTCAGATTGATCTTATAGCATAATAAGCTGTAATTTGTGCACATCATGTAGGTTATAGGACAAGCGTGTCCTGGCGGAAACATTAATGGTATTATAATAACTTCAGTGCAGATGATAGCTTCAGACAACATTCGAAACTTGCCGCTGTGATGTAAATCGGTGATGATCATTATGATATCTATACTTAATATCATATATTAAGTAAAGCCACGTTTAAGAGTTACCGTATCTCTTAGTTCACTTGGGCACCATGAGAGAGGTTGCGAAAAAAGTTTCAACAGGTCCTGGTGAAAAAAACTTTTATCGCATATCCAGCTTTAGACACTGTAATATATTATATGAGAATTGTCGTTATATAAAAGAATAAAGGGGCTTACGATACTTTCTATTTTGAGTATTCTTAATTAATACCTGGATTCACAACCAGTTTGAAATTCGGTTAAAAATTTCAACACAGTACTTTTTGAAGGTTCTTACAGTTTAATTTTTCGTTACAATTCGCTCGTTTATCGGTAAAACAAAAATTATCATTTTGTTTATGTTATCAGTTTCGTCTCTGATTCTTAACATACGTGTATTATACGTGGGAACCAAATAAAACCCTTCTGACAGCTAATTAAATGATGCATATTATGCCGTCTAAGTGTAATCACAATTTCTAAGTACACAACATTTGCTTTCATAAAATTATTTCTTTCAAAAACGCAATGGTAATTGTCACAATATTAGAACAGAGTATAAAAGCACCGCAGTATTTAACCATCCTTTAGTAGAAGATTGAGTACTTTCACTTAATTTTCATAAAAAAATATGATAATAAATTAATATTTAAGACATGAACGAAACCCGATCGATTGATAGATTTATTTTAAGTCTAAATATTCAATTCACATACAGTAATCACGTAAACATAAAAGTTCATCGCGTTTGCTGCGGCAGTAACACTGCGAAACTGCTCGAGAGACATTGCGTTTTGGGCGGTATAAGTATAACATAACATGTAAATAATATGTCTAATTTTATTTGTGTAATATAAAATACAATTTTTTTTCTTTTTTAGCTAAATTTTTTCGTTGAATAGCAATTGAATATGAATTAAAATGAATTGAAAAGTAGTGCTAACTTTGAATAGCAATGTATTATAATGATGCTATTGTATCGTTTGTTACAGCCATTATGCCAGTGGAAACCACAAAAGCAACGCTGCAATGTCGGCTCTAACGCTGTTGGCTTTTCTATTCTTCCTGAACATACTACAACAATGTCTGAAGGATCACATGACAGACTTGAGTACACCTCAAGTTATGATAATGTCGGCAGGAAAAGAAAGTGATGATAACTTCGCAAAAATGTCACTTACAAATAAATTTGACAAAACCGGTACCTTGTACACAGACAAAAATAATTTCCAAAGGGAAAGTTTGTTAAGTTTAAAAGCAAGGGACAAAGTATCCGGCGAAGAAAACGAATTTGAAAGTCAATTAAATCCCGACGATCCTTCGCAAAAAACTTTGTTAAAAATAAAAACCTCTGAATACAAACCTCAAAATAGCGCGCAAGAATATAAAATTATGAAAAATAATGCAAATCAATCTTTTAAATTTGCTGGATTTTACGACGAATACGAAAAATAGTTTTTTTTATTTCAGAAAGCATAAAATTAAACTCTTACGTACTTAATGAACTTAAGACATATTTTTTTAGGGTGTAGTTAGTGGGTGTATTAAAAGACTAAGATATAGTTGGACTATTTATTATTCATATACTTCTCACACACATGACTCTAGATTTTTGAGTACAGCCTTCATCACAATCTTTCATCAATCATTCACAGAACAGTTTTATAGATATTTCAAGAATACATATTATGTTACTAAGAAGAAACTAAATACAAAATAGATGAGTCACAGTAATAATCTAGTAGGTGCATGCTATTCATGCAACGGGTTGTGTCCGGATTTAGCAGCTAGTGTTACTGTATAGATAAAATATCAATACAGAACAATATTAAAAAGTGTAAAATTACATTTTCCGTTACTTTACAAAATAGGACCATCATTGTAAAAAAAACAAAACACAAATATAAGCGATTGGTGAAATTTAAACATTTATGAACAGACAAATTATTTTTGAGTAAAAGCGCTCCTCACAAACGCCATTAGGAGAATCAGAATGTTGAGTAAGTCAGAGCTATAATTCAAACCTTTACGGGCATCATGGTAAACTACTTTGTTTTGCATCACATCTAAAAATTTTAAATACGATGCGTTTTTAAATTTAAACACAATTAACTTATACACCACCACAATCTTATATATTATATAAAAAACAATTACAGGACCAGTCCGTGAATATAACGCATAGTTTTAAAAAAAGATTATCGGATTTGTAGTAGCGTTATACTTCATAGAAATTACTAACAGTCCAGTATCTATTATGTATTCAAAAACAATCACATTATTTGTAAAAAAAATACTTCAAATACATATTCAACAAACATATATACTTACCAACTAGCCGATAATCTCTTTCCAAGACTCGATGTGTAAATTCTCGCCCACATAATATATACTAGCGTACAGTACCCGGCGATAAATATTGCACATCGACCTTTGGAAAGAGACAATCAGCTAATTTCGGCTTCGTAGAGCGTTATCTCTGTCGCACGAAATACTAAAAGTCCGGTCTCTATTAGCTCGAACGTCAAACACGAACACAGGTAGTGTGCGACAGAGATAACGCTCTACGAAGCCGAAATTAGCTGATTGTCTCTTTCCAAAGGTCGATGTGCAATATCTATCGCCGGGTAATGTACAACATTAAACATAATTCTACATGCGTCTCACTCGCTCGATGTACTTAGTCTGTGTGAGTGCACTGGATCCCATAGTCGGATCTGTCATACGATTCCAGTCAGTCTGACCTACAACAAATCCAATAGCCCGCATCTTCTCTTGCTTCCTTCTCTCTTCTATATCCGCCCAACGCACCTGTTTTAAGTACAACACAATGAAAACATACGCTTCGAAACCTTCGGAACACAGACTCACCTTTTTATTTCAAATATGTGTAATGTGACTAGCACAGATACGAAACGTATAAGTTCGGAACATAATAACATATTCCACAATATTTTTAATACAAAGCTCAACTGTTTAATCAGTATTTTTGCTCATAATTTACGTAGAATTTTTAAGGATAAATAAGATGTCAAATTTGACAAAACCAGTTTAGAGATTAAACTTTTCAGCTAAAGTCACATAGGAACTGAAGGTAAACGCTTGTTTATTGTAACCTCAACATTTCATAATATTCTATATTCGTTTTAGGTCAATCAAGAGTACAACTGTACAACAACCGTACATAAAACTCGAATAAATATTTCATGTCACTTAATAAAAATATTATTATGAATTTCAAATATACCGATTGCTGTAACAGCAAAAATTGTGTCTTTGTGTACTAGATTACATTAAAAAAATTATGGAAAGAAGAAAACTTGATGCATTTCCACAACCATATCACAACAAAAATATTAATAACATAAAGTTAAAATACTCTACACTTACAGTTTTCTTTCCTGGCTTAGATACATTTGGCTGCCAGTCATCTATTTGTAGGTAGTCTTCCATGGAGAGTTGCGATGGTCGAAGCGGCTTACTGGTGCCGTCGAGTCGCGCTGTAACAATATAAAGAGAAAATTAATATGCTAATGTTATACAGAATGCACTGATAAACAAAACTTAAAGTACTGTAGTATTATGGTTAGTTAATGAATTTGATTATACATTTCTATATTTACACACGAACATTTTCAAAGTACTAATAATACATATCATCTATATAAAACCAAACTGTAAAAAGAATATTGTGAAAGAATGAGTACTGCTGTCAAAGTCATAGATCATAGTTTATTAAGCGATTTTTTTTTCACTGACAGTATTTGGATCAAATCGTTAATATATTCGTGTGTAAATTTCGATAAGAATAGCTATCAATATAATTCCAATCAGAAACCTACCTAGTTGTACGGCGTCGTCCATTTTCTCCCATTTCGAGGTAAAATGATTTTCGACCTGTGTTGGAACAGTACTCGGCGTTTTTAGTTACAATGCTGAAATTAAATCTGTTACCCTATCCTTACTATTATAGCATCTAAAGCATAATTGTAATCAATATTATACAAATTTACAAATATCCAAAATGTAGATAACATAAAGAAGTTTATTTGTACACATATTTTATAATGAAGCTTACATTCAGATATGATTTATTACATATAAATAATGGATCCAGAGAATTGCTCCAACATAAATATTATGTACCTGCGTGTTCTTAAGTGTTATTAATATCTCACCTCACTTTCTGCTGGATCCTCCTCCATAGACACCCCATTGTCCACATCTTCCATTTGCACTTCTGTAATGGCGGCACTCTGTAGCAAGGTTGTTGGATCCAATTGTATGTGGTGTGCGGGCGTTGGGAAAAATCTAGCTCTTATAACTTCAATATCCTCCAGCGTGCGATTGTGAATATTCCTCTTGTAACAGGTTTGTAAGTCAACTTCCAAAGTACAAATATACACCTGTGATAAACGATGAATGATAAATGATATTTATTTTTATAACAATAACCTTGAAAGAATTAAGAAAAATGCTTGAAATGTCTTTTGACCTTTAATGGAATGAGCATCTTGTAACCAAAATCCCATTATCTAGTCTAGTGTCAAGACTTTCTAGTAGGAGGCATGCAGTTTTTTTTCTGCAGAAATATAATAGAAATGGACGTTGTGGTCCAATTATACCTACATCTAACCTGTATTAAGGATCAAAATAGAAATACTTCAACACCTCTGAGAACTAAGGTGGAATGCCTCATTACCATGAAAGTCCATAAGAAACCCAGAATCTTTATATGCTGCTATTTTACAGTGGTCTGTAAGTTTGGTAGTAGTAAATTTAAAGCAAACCATTAGTGCTGAAGCCTAAGAGGTTGAAAACGGCTCATGCCCTGTCATCGGAAATTTTATTAATAGCCTAGTTATGGCAATGTTTACGTTTCCGTAATGATTTTTCCTACAACTATAATAAGATAACAACTATCGAAGAAATAATGAATTCTAGCACACAGCACTACACAGCAAGCTATTAATCACAAACGAGCACACAGTCCACCTGATGGTAAGTGAATGCTGTGACCCATAGACATTTACATTTATCCTCAATTAAGAATCACAATGCAGACGCGTTGTCACCCCTGAGGACTAAGATGAAATACCTTGTCTCCAGTAAAAAGGGTCTCCGGTGCTCTACATTCACTACACAGCAGGGCTAATCTTTCCAATATGGACCATCGATTTCAAAGCCCATATGTTTTTTGTAGATAGTACTCACTAAAAGAAAGAGTTTTGCAAAGTTTTAGGTTGCGGAAACTTACGGTTCATGAGATATATTTTTTTAAACTTTTCATACAAATTGGTAAATAACACGCAATTACAAAATAAATTTGACAAATGATTGATGTTAAACGTCAGTTAGTGTAGGGTTCCGAATATTTTGAAAGTATCGATACCTACTCGATACCAAGTATCGTATCAAAAGTATCAATACTACTTGGTATCAAGTACATTTCGTTAATTTTGGAGACGAAAAATTATGACAAACCAATTAGATGCATAGGAAGAGCTGATAAGTGCAATTATATATGTATATAAAGTAGAATAAAGTTTACTCTATTTAAGTTCCAACTTAGTACTTGTATTTTATTGTTTGCAACTTGTTTGTATTTCTTAATTAGTACAGCTTTTGTACTTTTATTTTATTGTTTGCAACTTTCTGTATTATCTAATTCTTACTACAATAAAGTGTTTACTTACTTATTGACTTACTTATTTAATATTCAAAAAGTACCCAAAACCGAATCAGAGCACCCCACTATCCACGTGGTCTTGTCTGCCCTACCCCTAGAGTGTATATAAGAGCCCGGAGGCGCGGAGGGAGAGCAGTGCCCGCCCGCCGTAGGGAAGTGCAGGTGCCTGTGCTTCCCTACGCTAGGGCGGAGGCACTGCTCATCCCGCAGCGCCGGAGCTGCCACGGAGCGCCGGAGCACAACTTCCCGGCTTCTTACCCCCCTAGTCTCCAAAATTAACGAAATGTACTCGATACCAAGTAGTATTGATACTTTTGATACGATACTTGGTATCGAGTACGTATCGATACTTTCAAAATATTTGGAACCTTACACTAATTGACGTTTGACATCAATGATTTGTCAAATTCATTTTGTAATTGGTGTAATTGCGTGTTATTTGCCAATTTGTATGAAAAGTTAAAAAAAATATATCTCATGAACGGTAAGTTTCTGCAACCTAAAACTTTGCAAAACGCTTTCTTTTAGTGAGTACTATCTACAAAAAAAATTGGGCTTTGAAATCGATGGTCCATATTGGAAAGATTTACCCACAGCAGCATTGAGCTGCTATTTCATTCTTGTATCCTGTGAGAACATGGTCATACCCTGGCCTGACCCATTCATACTACCATGCCAGTAAACCTGCTGTAAGTTAACTGTACTACGCCTATAACCTTCGCGCAAGTGCCAGCAATAAGTTGACAAAGTTTTAGCACAATCTGATGAATGGTATGGCTATGCATAAAATATAAACAACCAAACATTAATTTTTATATTAAATTTGAAGAATATGTTAATGTGACACATACCTGAAATCCATTTTGTCTTGCAAAGTTCCATATATCAGCATATGATTTTAACTGTTCATTAACAGCATCAAAAATCAAGAACGAAAAATATCCATCTGTTAAACTCCGTTTAAAAGCACGCTTCAATGAATACATATAGGCTTCTTCTGAATCTTGATCATACTCATATTTCAGAGATGGTTTTTTAACCTGGAAATCATAACTTTTACTTATAAATACTGCTATTTCATCACTGCAACTAATAAATATTAATGAATTTTAAGGCTTAAAGTACCCCTGCAACCGGGGATGGTATTTCTATTTCCTTTGAGAAGGTTATCGAGCAATATTATGACTGCTCGTCAATTCTAAGGAGTGTTTATGTGAGGAGTGCGGAACAAGAATATTGCCTACAAACCATTATTCGAGATATTTTTATTTTTGTATATAATGCGTATATTATGTATGTAAAATATAGCTAAATTGCGTCACGTCGCCTCAATGAGACCCACTTAAAAACGAGATGAAATATTTGATAGATCTATGAAACCTGAGAAAGTTTATTTTGTTAGAAGTGTAGAGATTAATGTTTTTTTTTCTGAAATATAACTTATATTTTATATTAATTATATTAGGGTAATCCAAAAGGATATTCCTAAAGTAGAAAAATTAAAAAATACTGCACTAAGGATTGTTTTGTGTAAATACATTAAGCTGAAACTAAAAAAGACCTTATAATTAAATCACAGCTTTTCAAAAAAACCAGTGACACCTGGTAAGCGTCAGATTGTTCATTACGCAAGCATCTGAAGATCTTAAACAGTTATTGTCCTAATTCAAGATTAGGTTAGCAAATTTGAAGAAGGGTTAGCATTGATAAAAATGACCTTAACTTATTTTATGGTACCTACAATTGAAATGTACTATGTGGTATTTACTATTAAAATGTACAATACAATGAATCTTCTACGCTCCTTTTTTTATAGAATAGGGTGAGAAACGAGCACACAGTCCACCTGATGGTTAGTGGTTGCTATGGCTCATAGACATCTACATCTATCCTCAATTACGAATCAAAATGCAGATGCGCTGTCACCCGTGAGGACTAGATGGAATGCCTCGTTTCAAGTAAAAAGGGTTTCCGGTTCTCTACACTTACCATATGAAACACAGCAGCATTTAGCTTTACGCTGATATTCTGTGAGAATGTGGTCCTTCGCCAGTCGAGCCGAACCATTCATGCTACAACTATACTTCTAATATAACTGCAGCATGGCTGTACCATGTATATAAAATATATATTATATACGTGATAGATATGTAGTATGTATGGGTGCTATTGAGTCTGAATTCTGAACTGATTGACTGAACTGACCAATTAAATATATATCTATGTCGCTTTAAATACTAGGGTAATGTAAACAGAACAAGAATGATGCTGCCCATTATAAGCTGACACATTTATGAGATACTTTTTCAACTGAAAAACACTCATTTGCAGTAGCTAGTGCCATAATTGGACATGGCTCTAAGCAAACATTAACCTTAAGTTTTATACACCTTGTGTATCGGAAAAGGGGAGAAACCACTGCACACATTCTGATGATCAAATCTGATGTCACCAGTTACAGGGCTAAATATGTGATCGCACCAAGGTCGCTTCGCTTCAGGAGGCCGCCAGTAATATCTAGTTTGCCGAACTTCTTTGAGTAGCTTGGTTGGGTCAAATAATTAATTTTGTTGACCATACACATAATACGTGCTTTGTTGCAGAGTAATAGTATGTTAGTTTACTTGTCGAGTAATGGCGCTGCTGCAGCAGCATTTTTCTTGGAAAATATCCCTATAATACATGTAATTTTAAGTGTACATAGACCCTTATTGACCTTTGCCTTAAATTCAAAAGTTTAAGAAATTTATGTTCAATACAAACCATCTTCCCTGTGACAGGATCATTAACTTCAATTTCACCTTCTTGCATAAAATAATCATCTATTGACATAATTCGTACTGTACCACCATGTTCAGCTTCTCTATCCCTAATTAATTTCGCTAAATATGATTTGCCACTACCTGGTAAGCCTAAAATGGAAAACAATCAGATAAAGTGATTCTAACATCTAAGTTTAAAAAATGACATAACTAACCAATACCAACCTCTTAATATAATAACAATTTTTTCTGGCCTCATTTCACGGCCTGGTGGTTCTAATATATCATCAATCATAACAATATGTTTAGCAGTCCCTAAATCATTTTTTGAATGGGCGTCCTTTCCTTTTTTAATTGAAGAAGTACCACTGACCTCACTATCTTTGCTATGAGTTCTTTTACGATTTTCCCTTTCCTTGCTTCTGCTTCGATTTCTACTTTCATCTTTTCTATAATCTCTGTATCTATCTCTATTATCATCTCTACCTCGCTCATAGTTCCTATAAATATCCTCTCGTCTCTTATAATTATCTGAATGATCTCTTTGACGGTTATCATATTTATCATCATATCGGTGCCTCTCACTATATGCCTCCCTTAAAGGACCTCTTTGCCGGTAGTCATCTCTTATGTTTTCTCTTTGTTTTCTGTTATTATCTCTATAATAAAGGTCTCGATAAGATCTCTCTGGTGAGAAATTCTCATCATTTATTTCCATTTTACGCTGCCTTGAAAAAAGATCATCAACTTCCTTTTCAAAATCTTTCTTTTTATCACTTTCTTTTGACTTATGATTATAGTCAAACATGTGGACAGGCTCAATAAAATCTCGAGCTAAAAGTAAAAATTTTAAGCTCAAATTTCATACACAAAAATTGAACAACAAATTTTTGTAATTATATAAATATTATTGTTCTAGCTTAATATGAAGAGTTGTATTAAAAACAAAAACAAATATGCATTCTAAGATTATACACTAATATTGCCAACTTTTACAATATCTAATATATTTATTACTATAAACACACATTTTTAACAGTTCTTAACTTTAGTTCATAAGTTACTATATATTTATTTTATGTTATAGTTTATGGATTATTTATGTAGTTTTCTCATCTGGTGGGGCTGTATAAATATATAAATAAAATGATAAATATATATCAATATAGTAAAATAAAAATCAAACAAGATGAAGCCCTTGTATAGGTAGACCAAACGGCCGAGGATTAGGGAGAAAATGAGAGAAGAAAAGGAGCACTGCTTTCTGCATTTGAGCCTGCTTTTTGCATGAACATATTTTGTTTGCCTATCTGTTTCGGCATTCATAAGGTTCTCGTCATACGGAATGGTAATGTGCCCAGTCCATCAGCACAATATCAGGCTTATTTGCAAGAATAGTCCTGTCTGTGATGATGACTCAGTTCCAGTAGAGCCTGGCGCGGTAATTTTCGAGCACAGCTTCTGGCAAGTAGTTTTAAGGTTTCCGATCCACGAGACTGTATTTCAGTGAGCTCTGGTATTCAATCCTAGCTACTAGGTTGTGTCTGTGCAAGTACTCAGAGTTCACCGAAAAGTACTCAGAAAGCACCGAACAACGGGAGATGCCATGCCAAGTGACTCACCTAGACGGCGACAAGCTCGACAGATATCAAAGGAGCAATCCTTTAGAATGTATCTCAGATAGTTGTTAGTCTTGATAAACTGATCCTGTATCGCAAAAACAAAACCCTCGGTTTTCCCAAAAAGGTCACAGAACCATAGCCAATGGTGGAAGGCGATCGTGTCTACAAAGGCTCATGTAGTTATAGGGCCACCCACGGAACTCTTGTGTTTTTCCATATGGTCTCATGGTCGGAAATGCTCTGTACTAGCAGCTCTTGGCACACCACATTGGCTAAGGATAGAGGAGGTAAGCCTTTTGTTACATGAAATGACATTCGCATAGAATGGATCATCCAATCTCTATGAAATATGGTCACCGATGAACTCATCAGCAAATTAAATCACCTCTCCACAATATAGATAGATGACCTGACTATACTGGTTTTGAAAAAGACAGCAAGCATGGTATGTGACCTGACCCAAGCAGCTCTCTGTGTAGTGGAGAGATATTGTAAGGAATATGACGTTAACCCAAATAAAATACTAGAAACTAGGAATGTTTACACCAAAACACACTAAATAACTATCACCTTCGAAATCTTTTCAGCAGAAAATTCCAGCTATCTTCTGAGGCAAAATATTTAGGTCATACCTTCAGACAGTAAACGCAACTGGAATAAACTTATAGAAAAGAAAGTCAAAAAGTCTAGTATAAGTTTCTCACAATGCAGAAACATGATAGGCAAACAATGGGGTCTGTTACCAAAAATTATACTGTGTGTTCAAAACTATTTTTTGGCCCATGATCACATATGGGTGCTCTAGTATGGCCCAAAAAAAAAGCCACCACTATGAAGAAGCTTTAACAGTACAAGATACTGGCATGTATGACGTAAGGGCTACACCAACAGCAGCCTTATATGCTATGCTGGAGCTAACTCCGCTTCACCTACACATACAAAAAAAAACTTTAGGTGCCATTAGACTCAACACCCTAAATCTTTAGACTAGGAGTAGAGTCCCTCATACAGATACAATTGATAGAATTTACACCAAAATTTCTATCCTTAAACCAAAATATGACAAGATCCCAAAGCAATTTGTGTTTGATAAGATATAGAATACAAGTAAATGAATCTAACCAGACAGAGGGATTAAACCCAAAAGTTTTTTAAAAATTTCACAGATGGTTCAAACCAAAGGAAGGTGCAGGATCAGGAACTATCTTGGAACACCTCAACATCCACATATGATCACCGCTGGGCACCCAAAACAAAGTATTTCAGTCTGAATGTACGGATATTATTCAAGCCACCATAGCAATAGATGCCAAAAAGGTAAAAAACTACTATATCAGAATACTGACCAACAACATGGCGGTACTACAAGCTCTGAGTTGCAATGTGGTGAATTTTGGTCTAATATGTAAATGCCATCAATGACCAAGTGAGATATATAAATGCAACAATGTGACTCAGCAATGGTTGGATATAGTGGATCCAGGTGCAACGACACAGCAGACAAACTGGCCAGAGGAGGATCAGCTCTGGTCACCTTAGGGCTGCAACTGATCATAGAGATTCCTTTTGGTAACATTCATTTACTGGTGGTGTAAGCACTTTACTAATCAACATGCTCTGTTTTGGAAAAATCTAAAAGACATACTAGGGAGGCCTTGCCAGCAATAAACAGTCATTTAACCTAGATCTTAATGAGATTGAACAAGCCACAAAGCAGGATAGCAACAAGTGTTATCGCAAGTCGGCTCTTTTAACCAACATTTATTAACTATACCAGGGGTATGTTCCAAAATAGAACCCTGTACACTGGCCAATGCAAATGACATCATAAATCGACGACATACTGGTGATTTGTTGTATTGAATATGGTGGAATTTGGTGTCAATTAATGTGCCCCAAACATTTCGAGCCCGAGTGCAGAGCCAATGCATTATGCAGGCATGTCTAGAGGTCATTGCATACAGGGCTAAACATCATGGCATGCCAATAGCTCCCTGGAGTTGCTTGCCATATCAAGGGATTGCTAAACTTCTTAGAGTTAAACATGATATTTCTGCTCACTCACAAAATATGTCGTCAGACATGGAGCTGCAGAAAATAGTCTGTCATAAAGTAAACATCATATTTGTAATAGTATTGCCAAAAGTACTTATATTTATAATTGCTATAAATATTATGTTTTATATCACATTTACAGAATTGTAAAGATGTGAGTGTGACTCCTACTTACCGTTAACAGAATAAAAAATTAATACTAAATATTGGACTAATAAATAAGTAAGAGACAACTTGGAGACACTTTACATCAATCAAAATATCTTGCATTAATTACCTTTTAATCTTAGTGGTTTATGCTCATATTCAACAATTATAGACGGGGTAAACAATGGCTCATCAACCCATTTAGACCTAACAGGTGGAGTTGGCATGGGACATGATTGATGCTCAGGTATACTTTTTCTATCATAAGAACCTTTATGAAAATTATTTATAGTTTCATTTTGCATAGCCTGATTTTGTAGTGGTCCCACTTGACTAGCAGTAATTTGTACATTTCTTGGTGCCATATTATGGCCAATACTTTGCGTAAAATTACCATAATATTGTTCCTTTGATATGTCGACTCGTTTATCATCATATTGTCTCTGCACAACTGGCATATCATTACCTGTTTTGGGAATGTCTAAAAAAGAGCTTTGTACATTATTAGTGTTTTGTCTACTGCCATAAGGAATATTTGGAGTATGCTGATAATTTTTAGCCACATCCATATTGCTATGTGGTTTACTAATACTGGTATTATCAAAGGATTTTTGGCCTCTAACCATAGAAAGAATGTTCATAATTTTTTCATCGCCTAAAATGCTATTAATACCCTTGGAAATAGTAGAGTAGTCAGGGCCAAGTGATTGAATTTCTTGCTTTTCTGCTTTATTTTCTTCAGTTATATCAATAACATCTTGATTTTTACTAAAACCAGGTGGCTTATCAACTTCTGGAACTAAATCTAACCCTGGTATTCCTTTAGTATCGTCCTTAGGCAAGAAGTCAGAGTTATCAACATTAGGTGTTGAGTAATGACCAACATTATGGTATGAATCGTTTCTGAATGTAGGCTCTACATATTTCGTATCACTACTGTAACTTCCTTCACTCATATTATGCTGCTGATAATGTGGATATTTTTGGTTAAAATAATTCACAGTTGGATTGTTTTTTAATTTTTGTGATTGCATATTAGGTTGACTGTAATTATTGGGAATTTTAGTCTGCAGTGGTACAGGGTTACTACCTGGGGCAGGTACTGTAGGCATATTACCCGTCACATTGTTGTTCACAGTTTGAGATGTATTACTCATCAAACGAGCTCTCTTTTGTTTCATCTGCTGACGTCGCTCTAATAATTGTGCCCTACACGCTTCAAACTTCTGTTCATATTCATTGTATGCTTGTTTATCAGGATGATTAACATTTTCTTTTTTCCACTTCTCTATTTCCTCCTCCCATTTCTGAAACTGTATATCAAACAATCTCTCTTCCTCAGATAACTTCTCCAAAGCTTCAGAATTTTGAGCTGCATCATCATGTGTATCCATAGCATGTGTATCATAAGACCAACTTTGGGTGTCAACCTCTGGAGTTTTTGTATTATTTACGTTATCTGATTTGTTTGAAGTTTGCTGATTTTGTGGCGGTGCTGGTACTGGGGGCGGTGGAGGTTTTTGTGTAAAAAGTGGCTGATCATTTTGATGTGGGGGTGGTGGTTGATCAGGTGGAGGTGGTGCAGGAGGAGGCACGCAACTAACAGGCGGTAAAGGCGGCATTGTACCCATCGTTGGCATAGCCTGCATTTGTTCTGCATACTGAAACGTAAAACATTTTTAGGAAAGTGTATGAATTAATAATTAATGTGAAATGACGAAAATAATAACAGATAAACCATACCTTATCTCCGTATTGACTGTGCCACTGAGCGTATTGTTGTTGCCATTGGGTCCATTGTTGCCAATTTTGCTGCTGCATCAAAGCCCATTGATCAGGTGTATAACCCATGTTCATATTAGGCGTCATAGCAACGCCAGGATTCCACTGAGCTGGTGGAGGCACTGGCCAAGACATTGTTGTGTTTTATTGATTTATAAAAATTATTTTTAAGAAAATCAAAACGGCGATTTCTTTGACAAAATAAAGACGACAACTACAACCATACATTAATCACTGTAAAACAACAGTTCAACAAAGCACATTACCGCCATTTTGAAAATACCTACTTTACGTGCCATCGTACTAGAGGTGTTTGATGATCATCGATGTTAAAAATTAAATTATCGATGTCAATGAAACCGATGAATGAATGAATAATCGATTATTGGAAAAATATTTTCAAAAGCTGACTTAACCCTTTATCAACAGAGAAACAGATTGAAAGGTACTTTTTGTCATAATTACTATCTCTTCAATCACTAGCATAAAATATTTGACTGTATAACAAATGTACTATTTATTTGTAAAGGAGACGGGTGAATTTGGGCCTAACCATTACACAAGTGAAATATTTATCAATATTTTTTTACAGGTTTTTTTGTAGTTAATAATGAAATATTAAGCAGTTTTATCATGGCAAAAGAAAATAAATATAAAATAAAAATAATACTGTCTTCCGTTATTTTCATTTTTAAACAATGCTGCCAGATGAAATAGGTTGGTTAATCGATTTTGATACAAAAATAGATAAAAAAGGAATAAAAAGTAATTCAGTATTTCTTCTTTAGGTAAGTTTAAGAAAATTATTATTTAAATAATGGTTTCCTCATGACACTTCAAGGTTTCAAAAAAGTCGTAAAAATAAATTGACCGAATAGATTAATAAATCGATTTTACTATCGATTATCAATGTTTTATACAGGCGACAAAGCGAAAATGTCAGAGTTAGTTCAAAACTCAAGCGTCAATTAAATTGTTTGTTACGTTTGTTTGTCTCTGAGCTTACGGTGGTAGTGAATATTTTCTGTTGTTTTTGTGTGCTGTAATAATATTCTGATCTTCAACGACTCTGGCTACGTATAAAGGATTTTGACGGTTTCTTTTCTGATTTTACAAGAATACATGTGCAAAATGATAACTTAAATGATTTTGCCCAGCTCACACACAGTGATTTAATAAAAATATCTTTAGGTATTTATCAAATTAAGTAGGCTAGGTCCCATTATGGGGAACACATACAAGATGGGAGATATGAAATAGAAGTGTGTCGAGAAACGGTCAGCAACTTACTAAGAGAACTGTCAATATCCAACCATTCTAGCTGGCTATTAAGTGGTCGAATAAAATCGAGATATACTTAAGCTCAAAACATATTTTGGGTACATATATTTTAGTTGACAGTTCTCTTAATGGTGGAGAGGCCATCAAACAGTACTTTTTTAATTGCTTGGTAGGAAAAAGAACTGTAGGTTGTTGTTGTCATGTAATGTCCATAATATGGTACCTAAGCTGGGCAAGGCGTCAAGAGAATTTAATGCCGTATGCACCGTTTTTAGACGATATTTCATTTGTTTATGATGAAGTGGACGATTAATAAATCAATAAAAGAGAAAGTGTTTTTAATTCATACTCCCTCAGCTTTTTATAATTATTTCAAACCTTTAGAATTTAGTTAGACGGCGGCGTCTGAATCATCTATGTGTGAATGTCCTACAATACAAAAAATTACGTTAAAGTCTAGTTTACAATAAAGTCTAATAAATATTTTCTTAAAGTGTAATATGAGAGCTTAGTGTAAGAATTACATTGTAAGCGTAACGTAAGCAATAACATTGTTTTTATACAAATCAATAACATCCTATATTTTTTTCTACCATGAAGCAGTCGTAAACATTATAGTTTTTTTGAAATGGTATTGGTATATAAATAAAATAATGCAGTAATCGTTACTGTAACATCAGGCCCAGCTTTCTATGAACTTTCGCCCGTCTCCTTTCTTCCATTTTTTTTAAATAACTGTTTTAAACTAAGTACCTTTTTATTATATAATTCTTTTATTTTATAAAGAATAGACTGTAGACAACATATCTATTTTTTATTTATCAAATTCTAACCTATTAAATTACACATGTGCAAAAACATCCATAATGTTCAACATCGATGTTTTGAGTAAGATAAACATCGAACATCGATGTTGAGCTATCGATGCCAATATCGATGTTTCTGAAACATCGAGCATCCCTAGCTCATACCTCATTGACCATAAATAATACAGTTCCCACAAGACTTCCTACTAATGATAACGACCAAAGACAAACATCAAACAGTAGGACAGTCTAATTCAAGTTTAGTTTAATGTTTTGGGATAGGTATTCAGAAGGTCCGATCGGTCATTGTCTAAAAATTATGTAGGTTGAGTAATGTATACCAATACGACGAATTAATGATTATATACTCATTGATGAGTACGACGCTCAAACTCATAATCTATGGTCAACACATGCGCAATAGTGCAACGGAATATGTTGGTAATGATGTGTACAACTGATAAAATATTTATATCGATACACATATTTCTTAAATTTTACAAAAATACATAATAATTGAACAACTTCGCTACGTTAAGTACTCTAACAATTTATAAATTCAACCGTTTATTTCATTAGACGAGTAACACAAACGATATAATTATCTACCTACTATATCTTAATATATTTCTACTACGATTGTCTTAGATGATATTATATATTGTTTCACGTATGAAAAAAAATATATTTAAGTTTGTTATTTATATTGTTAAATTTTAGAATATAAACGTTGGACCCAACACCTAGCCAGTTTCAACCTAGTACCCAACTATAATCGTGTGTAGTACTTTAGGACCGATCCTCATTTACCGTCCATAGTTCGTTCTCGGTCCGATCCCGGCCGATCTCGGTCTGATTTATTATAATGGGATTGAACCAAAACTAGATTGTTACGGATAGTATGAATGCACACACATATTTTTTACTTGATAATATTTTATCAGACTGAGATCGGACCGAGGACGAACTTTGAACGGCATTATAATGAGGATCGGCCCTTACTGATATGATACAGATAGCTATATCTCTTTAAAATAAAGGCGTAATTTAGAACTGAATTTTAATTAGGTTACATATTGTACTATGTGATGCGGTACTTATGAATGATGGTTGAGCGAAAGCAAATAAGCGAGCGAGCTGAAACTCAATAAATAACGTGACAAAGATTTGAATATAATATTAGTAAGAGTGAAACAGAAGCCGTGTTTTTGATTTCACAATAATTTTACTTGAGTACACGGAGTATGTAACATTTTTACAACAGACAAGCCTTGCGCTTGAACGCAGGTTTCTGCCATAAATTGTCAGGAAATTAAGACAGACTTGACAAGTGACTTGGCAACCATAGACTTTATTTTTGTTAGTACGATACCCACAAGATGATATGGGTAGTAGATTCTCTTACATCACCACTACCTGACTTCATTGAACTACACATTAGTGACCAGCTTTTTCTGAGTAGGACCTATTAATGTGGCATTAATTTTCGATTAATTTATCGATTTATTATTTTTAAAATACCCAAGATTTTCGAACACACGACAGAAAATGGCTTTTTATTTGATGATATACTAATAACTCCCTTATAGGGCAGTTATTTTGATATTACAGACAGACAGTTATTTTGAAACACACATACACTTTACAAAGTTATTTTGAAATTACAGACAGACACTTCAATTTTATTTATATGTACAGATTTTACTGGAATTATTTAAAAAGTAAAAGGAAGAGCTAAATTTTAGTTTCCCGACACAACCGGAGAGAGTTCAGGCACAGGGCCAAAGGATTTACGTACTTCCCGAAGCACGGGCGTGAAATATCACCAGCTTTCTGATTTCGGAATGAGAATTTTTTTGACAGAAGAACCCATTAACTGACTTTGGCCCGACCCAGGATTCGGAACCAGGACCTCATGATCAACAATTGTATCTACGACCACAAGACCAACGAGTCAGTCGTTGGCATAAATAACTCCTACTTTCTCCATTTGCACAGTTCAGCCACCTCTGATGCCGCCCAGCTCAAAATGAGGTACCACTGATATGAGAGGTTGTTAAGGTGCTTGCGCACATAGCATCCTACACTAGGGCTTTCCCACTCTCCCAAGTCCAAAAGGACCAAAGGTATACCGTCGAATCTCTTGCCATTGCTCAAAATATTCAACAAGGCTCTAAAACCGAGGGGACATTTATACAAGAGTCCTTCAGATAAAAACGTGCAAAACACTGTGACAACCTACAGTCACTTTCCTTACTTGAGAGATTGTTATAATCAAAACTTAAAAAAATACTTTTTTAAGTTTATTTAATTTAAGCTTTTATAACTTTTTGAGTTCAATATGAAATGTCAAAATCGCAATTAAGTCTAATTAGTGACATTGAATACTTCATCTCTTATTTTGACACCCGATTGTTATAGTTGGTTGTTGTTATTTGTAGGGTTGGAATATTTTAACAATCATAAACGGGATATACTCTTAAATTTTTATGGGACCACCTTTAAAACATAATCTATTTATAATTAAAGGCATGTGTGTAGTAGAAATGAAACCTTCGAAAAACCGAACTTCCAGAAAATGAGACGAATGTAGAGTATGGAGAGTAGAATAATTGTAGGGTTTATTTTATATATTGTTACCAAATTAAGAAAAAACTTTATATTTACTACATATTAGACAGACTACAAGTTTTGACCTTTATCCAGCAGGGATTGTTTTGATTAGAAAATATTTATTTACCATCATTCATTTATTTACATTTATCTTATTTACATTTATTTCATCTCTTTCATTGTTTCGAAAGCTAAAATAATTATTAATGTATATGTCTGTCTCTTTTTCGCTTTTTCGTTTCATTGAATTCCACATCACAATGATTCTAAAGAAGTTATCACTTCAAAAATAAGCATCAAAATAGGTAGATATCACCTAATATACATACAAAATAAACATACGGTTGAATTGATAGCCTCCTCCTTTTTTGTTGTTAGTGGCTAACAATAAGTTTTTAATTGGTTAAATGTACCCACATAAAAATAAATAGACTC